ATCAAATTTTTATTTGTTTTAAGGTTTGGTGTGGCCATTTCAAAGATATAACTCCACAACCACCATATGTTTTTCTTTGGAAAGAACAACCAAAATGGCAAACTGGACCATTATGTCTCACCATTTTGGCTAAACCAAATGGACAGGTTACCTTTTCTTTTCTTTTATTTTATTTATTTTAATTCGATAAATCTTAGTCATCTCTCGCCTTATCAGGTAATCACTATTTTCACCATAGAAACGAGAGACTGAACACGATGGATTGATCACCAGCGATGGCTCTTTTTGAAATTTTCTTCATTTCGAAATATTTTCATAATCGAATCAATATTAGTAAAATAAGTTCCAATCATCACGCGACTCGAAGAGACTATTAATCGACAAACCTGTAAATGATCGATGCATCAAATTCGACACTAAGTCATTTATTTTAAAAGCTCTTTGATAAAAGAACTAAATATTATTTTAACAGATCTATTAGAAGCTACTCGAAGTCACTATTAAGTCACCTTGGAAGTGAGCTAGAACGCTCATTCTTAATAACCAAACGGAATAGATAGAAAATTATCTTAGAGAACTGACTGATAGGAAACTAGACAGACCATATAAAAAAAAAAAGGAAAAAGCTCTTATCTTAATCAGATATTCAGTCTATCATCGATTTGAATGGTGTTGGCCGTAAAATGCGTTTTTATCGAATTTTAATGTAGAAGCTCAAATTTTTGAATAGTTTGTCGTAATTCACGACTCAATAAATGGTCCCATACAACACTAAATCGATCTTTGAGACACATGCCATACTTCGAGATACGATATCATTCGACGCTTACTATTCGAAATACGGCGGCTCGGCTCGATCTTCTAAGGGTGTTGGCGGCTCAGCCAATCGATTAACATCTCTAATAGAAATGGTTAGCACTAGTCAGTGTCCGTACAATAAACAAGATCGTTATGATCAGCTGTTGATATTAGTCGAATCCAAAAATAAAAGAAAATTAAAGCACAATTGGAATAGAGATTGAACATTTCAATAATCAATCTTCTCTGATCATTTATTCATTATATCAGTGATCATGTATCCAGCAGATTATTAATAATAGGAATGGTGAGAGAGAGAGATCTCTATCTAATGGAAAATCTCGCATTTCTAATGTCATTTTTCTATCTGAACCAGAGGTCGAATCGAACCGAGTTTTTCTAGATCGGGTTCGGTTCGGTTCGGATTCACATTTGAAAAATAGGTTCGAGTTCGGTTCGGTTCGAGCTTATTATTGAAAACACGGTTCGAGTTCGGTTCGGTTCGGATTCATTTTTCAAAAACGAGTTCGGGTTCGGTTCGGTTCGATCTGCTTTTCGAGCAAGTGGTTCGAGTTCGGTTCGGTTCGGCTCGTCTTTAAAAAAATCAGTTCGGTTGCGGCTCGACTGGAGTAGTATTACTATCATTTAATCAAGACTAGACCAGAAGTCAAAACTTAGTGGTCCGATGATCAAAAATGTCACACGAGGGTTCATATTCGTATCAATTACTACTAATAGATACATTTGTAGATTAAAATTATATGTTAACATTGATATACAAGAATCATAGATGCTTTAGTGCTAATATTAATCTCATACCATTACGGACGATTATTCATCGCACTTTAGAACAATGGAGAAATTTATAAAAGAAAAATCAAATAGTTATGGCACGTAGAAGCGATTTATCATCATAAACACAATTTGTGTAACTATAAAACTGAGAGAAAAAAAGAGACTGCAATATACGGATATTAAATTAACCACGTAAAACAATCGATAAATGTTCGTTTTTATCTTTGTCCACGGCATTATACTTTTCTAAATCAATGATAGTTTAATTACTTTATGGTGATCTAACATTAAACTGTCATCAACTGTTCTTTTTTCAAAACTTCAGGTTCGGTTCGGTTCGTCTTCATTTTTGAAAAAGTGGTTCGAGTTCGGTTCGGTTCGACTCCATTTTTTAAAAGTCAGTTCGGGTTCGGTTCGGTTCGACTTTATTTCCAAAAATTCGGTTCGAGTTCGGTTCGGATCGATTCGAACCGAACCGAACCGTTATAGTTCGGTTCGGATCGGTTCGTTTTCGACCTCTGATCTGAACTGACATAATCACAGTCGTAAACAATCGATTCGATCTTACATCACTGTGATTAATCCTGCACGACATGATGAAATCAAGTGCAAACTGAAACAGTAACTGACGTGATTTTCCAACCGTAAACATTCTAATCATCTTGAAAGATATTTGTTGTATTATTGATATTGTTAAGATGTGATTGTAGTCTAGAAAATCGACTAGGTTTTTGTTTCGATTCATCTCTTGACTATAAAATCGGTTGATTATTGATTTGTTTAATCTATTTGATAAAATATTTAAAAAGATAATTTGTTATTTAAATGATAAACGATTTGAATTAATAATGTTTAGCCAATAGCATTGTTTCGAAATTGTTCTCATATTGATCCAGATCAATCATCAAGTAAAAACGAATTTATTTTAAAAACTAAACTTTTAAATCTAAATTAAAGGTGATATTCTATTTCTACGGTCAAAATCTACAACAGGATCAACTGATATATCCAATAATTCATCAATTTCAATTAAGTATTTATTAATTGATTATGTTTTTTTTTCTAAAAATATTATTTTATTAATAACAAAAAAATAATTTTCATATGAATAGAAGACAAAGTCGTTATTCATTATTTAATTCAAATGTAAATAATAAACCACCATTTGCACATTCACCAAATAATCCAATACATCCTGATCATAATGGTACAAATGTAAACATGCCCAATGATCTTCGTTGTCAAACCAATCAAAAAGTTTCTGTTAGATTCTATTGAAAAAAAAAATTCTTTATCTTATATTTATTTATTTATAATTAGGCTGGTGTTTCTCGATTACTTAATCGTCCTAAATCGTCTCCATTTGCAAGTCATTTAGGTTGTAAACAAGATTTAATTAGTAGAAATATTTTACAAACACAACAAACACAACGACATAAACAAACAACAGTTAAAACTTAACCAACCTTATTTTTTTCTTTTTAAATAAAACAAATTAAAAATCTGTTTTCATTTAGAATGAAAATGATCTTATTGACTATTTAGAATCTTTTAACAAAATAATTCTCTTTTATTCATATTAATAAAAACAAATTAAAGATTTATTTACTGTTTTTTATTACAAAATCTTTTTAAAATTTCTATGAAAATATTTCAAATAGAAAAAAAAACGAATTCTTTATCAGATTGCAAAATAAGAATATTGATTCAATCATTGATTTTTTGTTTTCTATTTTAAATCTATTAGTATTATTTATGTCAATTTTATATAAACGAGAATATTGATTTGAATTGAAAATAAAAGAATTTTAATCAATTTATTTTTCTTATCTTAAATTTAATAGAATTAGATTTTCAATTAATCAATTTTTAAAATATTAATAGATATCAATTATTTAGATTTTCGTCAAAAATAGAAAGAAAATAATTGAAATTGAATTATCTATTTTGTATAATAACTCGATTTTACTAATGAAATTTGTTAAATTAGAATAATTATATTCGAAACAAATATATCTTATAGGAATTAAAATTCAATCCATTTTAACACTGATACGCCCATCTGGGGTCTGTACGAACCCCATCTCGAAATAAGAGCTCCAAAGATATGTCTTGTTCTTTTTATGGGTACCTATTGAAAGGATGAAAAGTTTGCAGATGGGTAGTACATGGTATTCTCCTTCAGTGTGATATGAATTGAAAACCTCAACGCTTACTATTGAATCTGAATTTCATCCGACTTAGACTGGTAGAATCTGAGCATTTATAGAGGTGGGCGTGTTAGGGTTCATGATAATAAAATAAAGCAATCTGAATAGGATCGATTTATTTAATAATGTTTTTATAGATGACATCAAATCGTTCGAAACAGAGTCGCACTTCACATCCACTACTGATTAATAAGATCTGAATTGTTGGTATAGTTATGATCAACTATATTATGATTTATTTAGTTAAATAAATCTCGTTTCAATTCTTTATCATCGATCAGAACATAAAGAAAATATTCTATAAATGAACTTACTTTTCTTGTTGGTAATCATAGAATTACATCAATCATAGAATAAGATTAATTAACAAAATAATTTTATAGTAGGAATATGTTGGTAATGACATTGAAATGATTTAACAAGCAACAACAAGTCATTTTCATCTTCTTTAATTAATATTTTCTATATATACTTTTATTAAATATGAATAAATATTTGTGTACATAAGTTTATTCTTTTGACCAATTGGTAGATTTGCGCAAAGAACATCAATTTATAGCAAAAGGAAATATTAGATAATTGGGAAGAATCGAACGTTTATGAAATATTTTATAGAAAAGGTTCATTATCAAATGAAATCTAAATGGACTTTTAGTATACATTACTCCATAGGAATCCGATATTATCTGAAAATATTATCGCTAAACGGTGTCAAATCTAAATAAGAAATTTCTTAATACTGATAGTTAACACATTTATAGTCAACAGTAACAGGAAATTAATTTTTATATAAAAATATAAAATTTTCCATAGATTGAATTCTATTCAGTGTTAATGAGACACAACTTTTTTGAAGCATAAGTAGAAATAACACATGTGAAACAACTTTTTATGAAAGTAGAATAAAGATAATAGCGTCCTCTATCTTCCTAATTGTATCATTTCATAATAACTATTTAATTAATTGCGATATATAAAATGAAACTTTTTCTATATTAAATAAAATAATAAATTGATTGAATTCGATAATATATCTATTGAATAACATTACTTAGTGACAAACATAGAGACAGATTTTCAATGGTCGCTTTGGTTACTAACATACATCAACACTGTTTGTTACTGTTGCGGGTAGTAGTAGTTATCATTGTTTTGTTGATTTTCCATCATTTGTCGCTTTATTAACTGTCATTATGAGCCAACGGCATACATTGCAAGGTTAATTCTATTCTTTTGTTTATTTGTTAATTTATTAATTAATTAATCTATTTCATATTTAGTTTTTGAACAATATCAAAAAGCTCGTTTAACATTTGTTCAATCTGTAGCCGATCTTGCAACACGACCACAAAATATTGAAACTCTTCAAAATGCAGGTGTCATGGCATTACTTCGTCCATTATTACTTGATGTTGTACCAAGTGTACAACAAACAGCTGCACTTGCTTTAGGTCGTTTAGCTAATTATTCGGATCATTTAGCCGAATCTGTTGTACGTGGTGATATTCTTCCACAACTTGTTTATTCATTGGCTGAACAAAATGTATAAACAACATTCTTTTATCCATAGAAAAATCTTTACTATTTTTGTTTTTCTAGAGATTCTACAAAAAAGCAGCGGCTTTTGTTTTACGTGCTGTTGCTAAACATTCACCACAATTGGCTCAATCAGTTATTGATTGTGGAGCACTCGATGCGCTCGTTGTCTGTCTGGAAGAATTTGATCCATCAGTTAAAGAAGCAGCTACATGGGCACTTGGATATATTGCACGACACAATGCAGGTTAGTTACATTTATATTTTAATTCTTTTCCATATATTGATAAATAAATAAATTATCATCTTTATTCACAATAAACTATATTCGAATAATGAACAAAAAATCAATTAAACTATGACGAAAACGACCTTGAAAACATTTGATTTTACTACAATTAATATGTTCTTATATAACAAAAGAATGTTTTATCAGAAATCATTCGTCTAGACTTTCAACAGGTTCATACTATTCTACTTCAGTTTGATTATCAAACAAAATAAACATATCCATAAACAAGAAGAAAAGTAACGAAAATGATATTTGAAATGTATATATATCGTTTATCCCGAATAAGAAAATAATCTCGCTTATAGATTTATGTAAAAGAAAGAGATAAAAAGTGTAGTCATCAACTAGGAGTGTCTCAAAGTCACTAGGGGGTTGAGGGAGGTTCACCAGCAAAAAAATAATAAAGCACTGTAACTCTTCTGGAGACAAAAACGAAAATTTTTAAAGATGGTCAGAGTGATTTCTAAATGAAATATGAATAGAAAAAAGATATGTACGATTATTGATGATCTTTGCTTGTATTTGTTTTTGGATAGTTTACCTTTCGATTGAATAGTTAAAAGAAAAAAAAAACATATAATTCAATACAAAATAACAAATGATAATATAATTGAAATGATTTATTTAGAATTATCTCAACATGTAGTTGATGCTGGTAGTGTTCCATTACTTGTATTATGTTTACAAGAACCTGAAATAGCATTAAAACGTGTTGCTGCATCAGCACTTTCGGATATAGCTAAACATTCACCTGAATTAGCACAAACAGTTGTTGATGCTGGAGCTATAGCACACCTTGCTCAAATGATTCTTAATCCTGATGCTCAACTTAAGGTAAAATATACTTATTTTCTTTAATTATTATTCTTTTTTTTTTGTTTTTAAAGCGACAAATATTTTCAGCTCTAAGTCAAATCGCTAAACATTCAGTTGATTTAGCTGAAATGGTTGTTGAAGCTGAAATATTTCCAGCAGCATTTGCATGTTTAAATGATTCAGATGAATATGTGAAAAAAAATTGTGCGACACTTATACGTGAAATTGTTAAACATACACCTGAAGTAACATTTTTCTTTCTTTAATAAATTAATTTTTTTTAGTTAAAAAAAATAAAAAAATAAAAAAATTTTAGTTAGCACAAATGATTGTTAATGCTGGTGGAGTTGCTGCTGTTGTTGATTATGTTGCAACAACTCGTGGAAATGTACGTTTACCAGGTATTATGATGCTTGGTTATACAGCTGCACATACTGAAAGTTTAGCTATGGCTGTTATTGTTTCGAAAGTAATAAATAAACAAAATAAATTATTTTCTTTTATGAATTTAATTAAATATAGGGTATTAATCAATTATCAATTGCACTCAATGAAGAAACAGAAGATCATATATTAGCAGCAACAGCCTGGGCACTTGGTTTGTTTATTTTATTTTATTTTTAATTGTTTGTTAAATAATTATTTTAAAATGATTTTAGGTCAAATAGGTCGTCATACACCAGAACATGCTAAAGCTGTAGCTGTAGCAAATGTTTTACCAAAATTACTTCAATTATATATGCGTACAGATTTATCAGAAGATTTACAAACAAAATCGAAAAAAGCTTTAAAAAATATTCTTCAAAAATGTGTTTATTTACCTGTATTAGAACCACTATTACATGAAGCATCACCAAATATTCTTAAACATGTTGTTGCACAATTTTCAAAAGTACTTCCACATGATCCAAAAGCACGAAGATTATTTGTTACTAGTGGAGGACTTAAAAAGGTTTTTAGTTTTTTTTTTTTCATAGAAACAATAAATTTTTTTCCTTTTATTTTTCAGATTCAAGAAATAAAAACTGAAGAAGGTTCACCTCTGGCTGAATATATCAATACAATAAATAGTTGCTTTCCAGAAGAAGTTGTCAAGTATGTTTTATTTTGTTTTTTTTTTTAGGTTTTTATTATTTTATTATTTTTTTCTTATAGATATTATTCACCTGGTTATGCAGATGAATTACTTGAACGTGTTGACCATCATGGCAACAGAGCATAAAACTGTTTTTCTTTATTTCAGAATGAGCGCCTTTGCTTTCCTGCGTTTCTTTTTTTCTTTTCCTCTTGAAACTAAATCATTTTAAATATATTCATTTGTAACAAAACAATTAATAGAAATTTATTACAGTTTTCAATTGATACCTCATTTAGAATAATAATTATCAGTTAATATCGATAAACTTATTTCTTTGCAACTAACAAAACATCATTTCTATCATATCCTAGACGTGTTTTATTTACTGTCTCTACGAGTTTTAATCTAGAAAAATTATCAGACTGTTTATATGATCTGTCATTGATAATTATAAAAAAGAATTAATATAGTACTATAATACCTTATTAAAATAATTATAGAAATTTTCAATAATAACTATGATCGGAGT